AGAGAGAGAGAGAGAGAGAGAGAGAGAGAGAGAGAGAGAGAGAGAGAGAGGGGAAAGGGGGGGTGTACTCGCGATTGCCGGGTCTGGCCAAAATGGTGCACGGAGTAGACGCTAGCCGCCTTCCGACTGACTGGGGAATGACATTGGCCAGGGCGAGAGGATCCGCGTGCGTCTCGTGCGCCCCCTTGTATCTGTAGGGTATTTGTGTTTGATGGATTTTTCCTTTTGTTTAGCCATCATTCGTCTCTACCAGTTTGTCGTTCGACAAAATTGTTGACGTGGTGAAATGTTTTTCCTGTTCAGCATTGTGGGTTTCCTTGAGTAAATGCACGGGGGGAATGTGAGCTGAGCGAAAACAACGAAGCGTTGGCTGCAACATCTGCTTCAAGCCTTGCCCAGAAGGTTAGTTCTTTGGTGAGGGGGGAGGCTTTGCCCCCTTTTTTAGTGGCAATCTTAACGGCATCATACGAAAACAACGAACAACTGTTGTGCCAGACGTGAAAGAACAATGATCATCTTCGAAACACACTACGCCAACCATGGGTGTGATGCTGTGCGGACATAGCAAGAGTCTCGTCAAAGAGCCATCATGAAAACATTTTCCAAAAGCCAACCAACCAATCGACCGCAGGTGTGCTGCTGCCTGGGGCAAATCGCGAAGCACTCCGTAGATCTCGCAGAGGTGGTCGTCGAGGCCGAGGTCTTCCCCAACATCCTCAAGTGTCTCAGGGATTCCGACCTGTATGTGCGCAAGAACGCCGCCACCTGCATCCGTGAGATCGCCAAGCACACCCCCGAGGTACAATACGAATGAACGCCAGAGAGTGAATTGGAAATCCTTCGGAAACAGTCCCTCGACCGACAAATTGCGGCCTTTGTTTGTTGTTCGTCGTCTCCCCTCCTGTAGTTGCAAACCAGTTAGATGGTGGATGTCGTAGCAGACAAGTTTCCGATAGAGGGCAGGATTATACCGGGTAGCCACCCACGTTGTTGACGCCTGAAAAGATAACCACCAAAGAATAACCCCCAGGACCTAGCAAGGACGACAAATAGGTAGATATTATTCTTTCGCATTGTTGCAGACACCCTTACACTTCACCTCCCCCCCAAAAGCAGCAAGGACAAAACAAGGTCAGAAACTGCCCATCCAGTGTGGCAGATAATACCTCACCTCCGTCCTAAGAGCAACAACAGACGAAAAAGAGCCACATCGTGCCCATCCAGTGTGACCGACATCCCTGGCACCACCCCTGTCTCGGTGGGGTCAACCATGCTCGCTTGTCGTGAGTGAATGCAGCTGGCGAAGCTTATCGTTAACTCGGGCGGAGCGGCTGCGCTGGTGGACTACGTCGCCGACGCACAGGCAAGCAAAAGTAACAGGAATGTGTGAATCGCGGATCGATCGCTCGAACCACCCTAGGAGCGGCAAGGCAACCCGTTCGTAGAAACCGTGTACCGAGATGAAATTATCGGCAGCAGGGAGCTATGGGGGGGATCACTATTGGAACATTTAGGGGGCGGCGATAGAGTTGCGCACCGTCCTCTGAGGTTGATGAATACCCCCGTCAGGTGTAATGGTCCTTGGATGCCAACGCCATGCCTTTCGTAAGAGGTGCTCAACCCAGTTGACTCGTTCATGTTGGCCGAAAGTTTTTCCCTCGACAGTACTTTTTAGTTGCTTGTGGTGCCAACCAGAACCACGATCATTCTCGAAACCAAAGCCGCCGCACTCTCCTTCTCGCCTCTCGGACAGGCAGGCCCCCGTGACTCTACCCGTAGCATTCGCTGTGTCCATTTCACGTGCTCAACTCCGTGCACTGGGAAAGCCTGGACAACTTACAACGACCTGAAATCAGTGTTTTTCAGCTGCTGGTATGCAATTCTTCGTCGCATGGGACAAGGGAGTCAAACCCAGCCCACAGCATAGAGATGTCTTCGGCACCTCCAATACAATCAAAGTCCACGGTTTTGATACACTCGTTGCATCCCTCTAGGGCAACGCCAAGCTGCCCGGCATCATGGCCGTGGGGTACATCGCGGCGTTCAGCGAGACCTTGGCGCTGGCCGTCATCGTGTCCAAGGGAGTTGCACCACTCAAAGACGTGAGTTCCTCACCCTGCCGTGCGTTCACCCGACGACGCATGGATGTATGTTGACCCTTGGAAATACACTCTCGGGGTAGTAGGCAGGTTTTGAGGGAAACGATGAACCATACATGGGTTTTTATCAAACTTCATCTCACGTGGCGGTCTTTGGTGAGACCGAAGCCGGCCTTGTCCCCCAACCTCGGGCCTCAGGGGGGCGCAGCACGTCCCCTGAGGCCGTGAGTTGCGGGTGAACTTTGAGGCGGCGACGCTGTCGTGGGGCTCGGCGATGAGACGAAAGACCATGACATGTCGTAGGCTGCTGACAACATGGGTGGCGTTCCCGCTCAAACGATTTCTGAGTCGTTGGGACACGTGTGTAGGTTTTTGACGTTCGCAATTGGGATTGGCTTGAAACGCGAAAAATAACAGCGGTATAATGGCGGGAAATCCCCCACCCCTCCCCGTTGCCCCCCCCCGGTGTTTGCCATCGGCGTTGGGTTTTCGTCGCTTGGCAACGACGTTGTAAAACAAGCCAAGTCACTTCGTGAACTCGGCAACCAGGATACCGTTTTTTTGTTTGCCTCCGGTTGTTTTTTTGGCGGTAACCATAATGGTGGTCGAGTAGATCATGTTGTGCGGGGTGGAGAACCCTCACTCCACGCAAGGGGGATGATCGCACCACGTTGTGTTGAAATGGTCAAGCACCCTCAAGGCAGTTACACAGTGCTTTCAACTGTCTCAGGAAGTGATAGCACCAGAAAGTAAACTAAGTCATACGCAGCTGTGATCAGTATGCAAGGAAGTAAGCACGAGATGCCGAACACTCTTAGCAGGATGCAGCGCACCCTTCATGCGACTCGCCGAATACCTCACGGCGCTTCGCGCTTGGTGATGTGAGAGCCTGGTCCGGTGAGAACCCGGCGTGCTCCGTCCCGGCTTTGTAGGGATGCGAGGTCAATGGTCTAACGACTACGGCATGCACGACTATGAGTGCACCCCCCCCCTCCCCGTTGCCCCCTCCAAACATTAGTACCTCCCCGTCGAACATGCACTGCTTGGCAATTCGTAATAAGTATTGCTTGGTCCCCTAAACCCCATGACAAGATAGTGTTGTTGTTTTGACGCCGAAAAATCTCGCTACTGTTTTGTTTTTGTGGTCGGTGCAACAGGCACTAGTCGCCGAGCCCGAGGACCACATCAAGGCCGCTTCCGCGTGGTCGCTGGGGCAGATCGGGCGGCACACGCCAGACCACGCCCGCGCGTTGGCGGAGGGCGACGTCTTGAGACACCTACTGGTAAGACGTGTGTCGATGTATATAATCACGAAGAGATAATAAGAGGATAGAGACCGTATTGCTGGAGGCAGCGCAATCATCTGCAAAAATCCGACGCGCGACCATTTGTGCGAAAAGACAAGCAGAACAATGTTGGGTATAGATATCGAGCAGGTACAGGTTCGGATGATGTTTGTGTGATGCATGCAGTAAGTGACTCCCTTCATGCCCATTCCTCTCCCTTCCGAGAGAGGTATCCCGATCTCTGGAAATATGGTATGGTGCCGCAAGCATCGATGGTACCCGCGGTGTAGTTGGACATCCACAGGCCAAGCGACGCAGACCTTGAGCCGTAAAATATTCGTGTGGTGGATCGGCGTGACGGCATGAATGGGGATAGAGTTTGTGTGAAATGGAAAACACCCCGAAGTGAGGCATCGCGATACTCTCTCCATCCAAGTGAAGAACATTCTGAGACATCTACAGCAGGTTTTTTCCGTTCCATGGACCCGTCCCCCCTCGCCCACGCCCCCCCCGGTGTTTGCCATCGGAGTTGGGTCTTCGTCGCTTGGCAACGACGTTGTAAAACAAGCCAATTCACTTCGTGAACTCGGCAACCAGGTCACCGTTTATTTTTGCCTCTCTTTTTTTTTTGCGGTTACCATAACGGTGGTCGAGTAGATCATGTTGCGCGGGGTCGAGAACCCTCACTCCGCGCAAGGGGGATGATCGCACCACGGTGTGTTAAATTGGTCAAGCACCCTCGAGGCAGTTACACAGTGCTTATGGCTGCNTGTGAAACAAGCCAATTCACTTCGTGAACTCGGCAACCAGGTCACCGTTTATTTTTGCCTCTCTTTTTTTTTTGCGGTTACCATAACGGTGGTCGAGTNAAGTCATACGCAGCTGTCATCCGTACGCAAGGAAGTAAGCACGAGATACCGAACACACTTAGCAGGATGCAGCGCACCCTTCATGCGACTCGCCGAATATCTCACGGCGCTTCGCGCTTGGTGATGTGAGAGCCTGGTCCGGTGAGAACCCGGCGTGCTCCGTCCCGGCTTTGTAGGGATGCGAGGTCAATGGTCTAACGACTACGGCATGCACGACTATGAGTACACCCCCCCCTCTCGCCCACTTTCGCTTTCCACGACAGATTTGTTCTAAAGCAACCGACGTGGCCAGACCTCCTGGTCCGACCTGTGTGTTTGCCTGCAGTTCTGTCTCGGCACTCCCCCTCCTATCCTACTCTACCTTACCACGCCCTTCCCTGCTCCATTTCACACTACCTAATCTTGCGCAGTTCATCCACCTCGCTGATTCCCCCCGTACGACTCCTGTAGGTCATCTTGCCTCAGTTCACCCTGTCCAAACATTGTTCCAACGCCAGTAGTTCCCAAAAGAGAGGGCCAACATGACACGACTCAATCCCACATGAGAGCACGACAACGGAGGAATACTTGGGTCCCGTGCAACCGAACGAGACTCTAGGCGCATGCCATGATGCTATTCGTCGGTGCACTTTGTGGAGTAGTGTTTTTTCTCACATTAGCTCTATAGTCCACAAAAAATGGGGAGCCCGTGGTCTCAAAACCCGGCACATACGACGCCGCGGGGAAA